CTCTGTCTCCCTCCCTCCCTCCTCTGTCTCTGGCTGTATCTCAGTCTCTCTGTCTGTCTCTGTCTGTCTGTCTCTGTCTCTATCTGTCTGTCTGTCTCTGTCTCTCTGCCTGTCTCTGTCTCCCTCCCTCCCTCCTCTGTCTCTGGCTGTATCTCAGTCTCTCTGTCTGTCTCTGTCTGTCTCTGTGTCACTGTCTCTCTGTCTGTCTGTCTGTCTCTGTCTCTATCTGTCTGTCTGTCTCTGTCTCTCTGCCTGTCTCTGTCTCCCTCCCTCCCTCCTCTATCTCAGTCTCTCTGGCTGTCTCTGTCTCTCTTTATCTCATCTGTTTCTCTCTCGGATGCTGAATGATCATTTATTAGGGGGATCAGTTGAACTGCTTGACCTCTGAGGTCTCCTCCAGTTCTGAGGTTCTGGGCTTCCCTGAGCCCTGGTTCTTCCCTTGACCCACTGACTGAACCAGTGTGAGCTGTGGATGGCCTCAGAGCACCAGAGAAAGGAAGAAGAGCACCCAGGGTAGGGAAGGGCAAACTCTGCCTTCTCCCGGTCTTGCCTGGGGCTGGCCGTGGCCACGACAGGCAGAGCACCGCGGAGGCTCAGGTCAAGGATGGCCTGCCCTACCCAAACCTTGGATGCTTTGTTATTGGAGCGCGGTGAGTCCCTGAGTCTCAGAATCTCAGAACTACGTGGGACCTTCGAGGCCATTGAATGTAACCAACACCCCAACAAGAATTCTCTCCACTCTGGCCATCAAACAATAAGCATTTATTAAGCATCTGTTATATTCTAGTGATCGTAATAACGTTAGCCAGCGTTTATATAGTGAGTCAAGATTCGCAATGTGCTTTACCTATGGTATCTCATTTGATGCTCACAACAAGCCTGGGAGGCATTATTATCCCCATTTTACAGATGAGGAAACTGAGGCACACAGATAGTAAGTGACTTGCCTAGGTCACACAGCTGGTAAGTATTTGAGGCTGGATTTGAACTCAAGCCTTTCTGTCTCCAAACCCAGGCCTCATCCATTTTGCCAAACCATCCCTGCCCTCATGGAGTTTATATCTGGATAAATGGTCATCCAATATCTGCTTGAACATTTCCAGTGATGGGGAACTCATTATCTTTCAAAGCAGCCTTCAATATTTTTGGAGAGTTTTAAAGGTAGGCTGTCATACAGCCTCCACCTGCTTCTCCTTCTTCTCTCCCCACTCTCTCTCCCCCTGGGGCCAAGCAGGACAAACCTAATCCTGAGACCCCTTTTCTCTGGACCAATTTTGGACTCTCTCAATATATTGATGACTGGTTGTGGTGACTTTTTTTTTTTCTCTCTTAAAAAAACAAAATGGGGCAGCTAGGTGGTGCAGTGGATAGAGCTCTGGCTTTGGAGTCAGGAGGACCAGAGTTCATATCTAGCCTTTGACACTTACTGTGTGACCCTGGGCAAGTCATTTAACCCCAATTGCCTCACCAAAAGGAAAAAAAAACAAACCCAAGATGTAAGAAATAGAAAATGTGAAAATATTTTTTAAAATAACCACTTATGATGATAGAATTAGAGCTGAAAGCTTCATGCAGACTCCATGGAATCCCCCCCCACATACACACACATTATTTTACAGATGAGGAAACTGAGACTCAGAGATGTTCAGTGACTTGACCAGGGTCACACAGTAAAGGGCCAGAAGTGGGACTTGTACCCCTGGTCTCTGAGTCCAAACCTCCCCCCTCTACTTCTGTATACCCCTGGTCCCTTACTTGTTGTGGGACTATGGACAGAGCGACTTAAGGCACCACCACAAAGAGCCTAGATTTAAGTCTGGAATAGACTTCAAGGCTTTTTCACTCAATCCCCCCCAATTTACAGATCAGGAAACTGAGGCCCAGAGACTTTAAGTTAGTTGCCTAAGGTCATGTAGGTAATGAGAGAAGTGGGATTTGAACCCAGGTTCTCTGACACCAAAGCCAAGACCCTCTGCACTGTTTTTTGTCCTTCCTTCCTGCTAGACTGTAAGCCCCCTGAGGGCAGGGACTGTGTTTTAGAGGTTTTTGAATCTCTCTAAGAAGCCTCAATCACTGAATGGGTGTTGCTTCAGTCATACTGGGACCTGTTAAAGACCTTAGCTTGAAAAAGCCAAGGTTCCCTACTGCCTCTAGGGCTGTCTCCAGTGGCCACTGGACCCAGATGGCTTCGGAGATGAAAGCGTGGCTGGTGACTTTGCACAGCCCTGCCTCACTTTAATCCAATTCACCTGCACATCATGGCATCCCCTCCCTGATGTCACGGGCCTCATTGGGAACGAAGTGCAAACAGCAGCAATCCCCCTAAGCAGTGAGCTCTGCACCCAGCAGGCACTTGATAAATAGTTGTTGAATTAAATTCTAGGGGAGGCAGCCATGATGTCTCGGAATTGCCCTGGATTTGGAGTACAGGATTCGAATCCTGGCCCTGAGTGACCTTGGGTAGGTCATCTCTCCTCTCCAGGCCCATCCAGAACCATAGTGAAAGAGGAAAAGCCGGGGACCTAGAAGCAGGAGGACTGGGTGTGAATTCTGCCACATTTGCTAGGCTCGGGCAGGGAGCTTTGGTTTACTCCATATGAAAGTAGGGGTGACGCCCTGGGCTCTGCCTCGTTCCCAAGGCAGTTAGGGGTGATGGGCACCAGAGGGCGCTGCTGTCACCCAGCCCTGAGAGCGCAGCTTTAGGAACCGACTGCTCAAGAGAGGGTTGACCCGGTGAGCAGCCCTCTGCCCTTTCTCCCTCTTCTGCCTGCTTTCTCTCCAGAATTCTGTGGTGTATAATAGTACAGACCGGACAATACTACATGTGTAATGCACATGTGTGCGTTCATGTGTGTATGTGTACATGTGTGTATTTGAATGTAGATACAATACACACATAGATGAGCACATGTAAAATCATTTCAAGCACCTGTCACCGCCAGCCCCAAGGCAGGCCCGCAGTGTGGGAGGCTGCGCCTGAGGCTGGCTCTGGGGGAGGCAGGGCTGGGGGGCAGGGCACCGGCCAGGCCGGACCCTCTTACAAAGGTTGGGGACAAAGCAAGGAGGCTCCAGGCCTCTCACTAAGCCTGCTTGGGGGGTGGGGAGGGATGCAGCTGGGGGTTTGGGCCTGGATGACTTGGCAGGCTGAGTTTTCCTTTCCCAGTCTTAGGATAGGGAGGGAGGGAGCTGTCAATGTCTCCCTCATGGCCTGGGAGGCCTCCTCCTCTTTTCTTACTTTGGGGAAAAGTGGGGGGGTTGGGGGGAGGGAGAAAGACACAGACAGACAGAGATGACTGAGACAGAGACAGAGGGCCTTGGTGGCCACTGGATATTCTGCTTGGCTGGGAACGAAAAATGAATGAGTGAATCCCTTCTCAGTTGCTGCCCCTCATACCTAAACTCTTTCGTTAGCTTTTCATATTTTTATTGCAATTAAATTCAACAAAATACTTATTAAACATCTATCATGAGCAGGCCCTCCACTAGTTGCTGGGGCAGGTGCAGAGATGAACAAGTCTGTGAGCCCTGCTCTCCGGGAGCTTCCACTTTAGTAGTGGGACCCCGGGGGGCCACATACTGAGGCAGCTGGTGCCGGGCCTGGAGTCAGGAAGGCCTCAATCCAAATCTAGCCTCAGACTCTTACTAGCTGTGGAGACCCTCGGCAAGATCCCCACCCACATCTGAGTGCTGAGCGTCTATGCCCACATCACCTCTGCTGCCTCAGTTTCCTCATGAGGTACTTATAAAGCACTGGGCCAGAAGTCGGGAAGATCCAGCTTCCTGAGTTCAAATCCAGCCTCAGACACTTACTATCTGTGTGACCCTGGACAAGTCACTTAACCTTGTTTGTCTCAGTTTCCTCATCTGTAAAATGAGCTGGAGAAGGAAATGGCAAACTGCTCCAGTATCTCTACCAAGAAAATCCCAAATGGCATCATGGAGAGTCGGACAACAACCACGTGGGCCAGTTCCTGGGGACTAAATTTGTGATTTCACTGGCGCTGGAAACTGCCTCTGCCAATGCAGGACCTTTTTGGTGACTCTTGGCGTTAGAGAGTCTTAAGTTAAATGACTTACCCAGGGTCATCCAGCCAGCAGGTATCCCTACTCTGAGGTCACCTCTCTTCCTACTATGCCAGGCTCCCTCTTGATGCTACAGACACAAGCAAAGTGAAAAGCAATGACTTCCATTAAGGAATTTCCACTGGGGAGAGCCGACAGTTCACGGCTGCTGATTTGAAGGACACAGAGCTCTCAGGGAGGGGAGCAAACAAGCTTCTGTAAGGACTGGCCCAGGAGCCAAACCTTGAGGGAAACTCAGAATCCTAAGAGGTGGGGCTGGGGGAGACAAGGAGAGACCCAGAGAAAAGAGGTGGAACAGCTGGCATCCTGGGGGCCGATGGGGTGAGGGCACACCCCCGACCGAGAAATGGCTGGGGCCAGGCTGGGAGGGGCTTTGGCCAAACTGAAGGATTTCTCTGCTATCCAATAGGGAGTCATGGAAAATGTTTGAGCTGAGCAGGGAAAGAGTCAGACTTCTGCCTTAGGAAGAGGAATCAGGCAGCTTGGTGTGGGATGGATTAGGAAGAAGACGTTTGACAAGCTGGTGTCTAATGAGGAGGCTTTCTCTGTGGTCCAGGTGAGAGGGAGGAGGGCCTGAACTGGATCAGGGTGGGAGGAGAGATGGGGGAGGGACGTGAGAAGCGGCGTGTGGGGCAGTAAAGAGACTCAACTGTTGGGGACGGGGAGGAAGAGGGGAGAGTCAAGGTCACTGGCCAAGGGCTCCCAGGGGAGCAGGAGGGAGGCCACATCTCAGGGAGATGGGGGCCTCCCGAGCTCAGCCCCTGGCTGGGGGACAGGCGTTTGGGCAGCCGGGATGATGTCAGGGTTTTGGCATGGTCCCCAGCACCTGTAAGCCTGCCCCTTCCCTCCCTCCCTCGCTGCTCCCTCCCACCTGAGTGTCCCCCCCCACACACACACACAGACGGCTCAGCCCCAGAGGGAAGGTGAGGGCGAGGCGTGAGGTAGGGCGGCTGGACATCTCCAGTGGAGCGTGCGACTTTGGGGCCGTAGGCAGCTGTTCTTCCAGGACCATCAGGAACCAGTCGGCACAGACCCCAGCCGCCCGCGAGATGGGCCCGGCCGAGCGCCCTGCTTTGTGACTTCTCCTGGGCGGGGGCGGGGGGGGAAGGTCCGGCCCATCGCCCCCGGCCCCCCGCGGCTGGGTGCTGACCTTGCGCCCCCCACAAGGAAGAGTTCCCTCCTCCGCAGGGCCAGCCGGGGCCATGGCGGAAGACAAGACTTTCCGCTACGGGTTCATCATTCTGGGCTTGTTCCTACTGGCGGTGGGCATGTTCATCATGACGGTGGAGCGGCCACAGGTGTACATCACCTTCTGTGTCGTCGGCGGAGTCATGCTGATCACCGGGGTCGTCTGGAGCATGTGCCAATGCTATCCCAAGGTAGGCAGGAGATGGCAGCGCCTGTCCCAGGGCTGTGGGGACACGTTTGTACGGACACACGTGCGGCGTTTGCCGAGGTGGTCGAGGCCACCATCCATGCATGTCCTGGGCCCGTGGATGCCCGCCTTCCCGTGGGGGCCTCTGTATGTGTATCTGTGTCCTTCTGTTCCTTTTTCGGGGGTAACTGTGGACACATGTGTGTATCATGACTTTGTTGCGCACACAGTCAGTCAGGGTTTGTTATGTCCCTGCTTCATGCCAGGCTCTGTATCAAGAGCCAGGGAAAGAATGATCAAAGAAGCCAAAGTCAGGCCTTTGCTCAGCGAGGGGCTCCATCCATCTGCGCCAATCAAACACTGGCAAGTCTCTTCTTTCTGAGCCTCAGTCTCCTCATTTGTAAAATGGGGGTGGAGGGCCTCTTTTCCTGGGGTCCAAGAGAGATGACAGGAGGTCTGTGTACTTTGTGGGGGAAAGTTACATCTTTATGATGTTCACTGACCTCTAACAAATTTAATGTGCCCTTCAATGAGGAAGGTAGGCCATGCGTGGGACTCTGAGAAGGGGTCCATCCCTAAGGCTTCGCCAGTCTGACTGACCAAGGAGTCCAAGACACAAAACAAGATTAGGGACCCCTGGACTAAGTGATGGGTCCCTTCCGGACTGACATCCCCTGTTCTAAGGTCCTTCTCAGCTCGGACATTCCCTCTTCTAAGGTTCCTCTCAGCTCTGACATCCCCTGTTCTAAGGTTCCTCTCAGCTCTGACATCTCCTGTTCTAAGGCCCCTCCCAGCTCTGACATCCCCTGTTCTAAGGTCCTTCTCAGCTCGGACATCCCCTGTTCTAAGGTTCCTCTCAGCTCTGACAGTTCCTGTTCTAAGGCCCCTCCCAGCTCTGACATCCCCTGTTCTAAGCTCCCTCCCAGCTCTGACATCTCCTGTTCTAAAGCCCCTCTCAGCTCTGACATCACCTGTTCTAAGGCCCCTCCCAGCTCTGACATCCCCTGTTCTAAGCTCCCTCCCAGCTCTGACATCACCTGTTCTAAGGCCCCTCCCAGCTCTGACATCCCCTGTTCTAAGGCCCCTCCCAGCTCTGACATCCCCTGTTCTAAGCTCCCTCCCAGCTCTGACATCCCCTGTTCTAAGCTCCCTCCCAGCTCTGACATCACCTGTTCTAAGGCCCCTCCCAGCTCTGACATCCCCTGTTCTAAGCTCCCTCCCAGCTCTGACATCACCTGTTCTAAGGCCCCTCCCAGCTCTGACATCCCCTGTTCTAAGGCCCCTCCCAGCTCTGACATCCCCTGTTCTAAGCTCCCTCCCAGCTCTGACATTCTTTGTGCTGTATTCTAGAACTACTTGCTCCTTACACTAAGGCCCTTCCATCACTGGCTGATTGATTCTGTCATTCTATCTGGTCTGGTGCCTGCTGTACTGTGCCCTCCAGGCCCTCAGACTCCAATCAGGAGACCATAGGAGGACAGAAAGCCCCTCGGGAACCTTGGGCACAACAGAGCTCTCTGCTCACCAGCCCTCACCCCTCCCCTCCCATACCCACGGCCCACCAGAGCACCTGGAAAGCAAGTGTGGAAGGTCAGTCCTGGCCGGTTTAGAGTCACTTGCCTGGTTATTTACAGTCAACTCACCCCTGTCCCAGGAAGCCGAGGCCAGGGTCACACACAGGGAGGAAAGGAGATCCTTGCGGAAGTCACAGCCTGGGCAGCTGAGGGTGCTCCTGGGCCCCGTGTTCCCCTTTGCTGGCCTGTGAGCCTGGGGAGGTGAGCTTCAGGGAAGTCAATCAATACGCATTTATTAAGCACCGACTATGGGCCAAGCCCTGTGCTAGGCACCTTACAAATATTATCTGATTTGATCTTACAACAACCCCTCAAGATAAATGCTGATATTATCCCTAGATTTACAGTTGAGGAAACCAAGGCAAACAATGGTTAAGTGACTTGCCCATGGTCACATGGTGTCTGAGACTGGATTTAAACTCGCATCTTCGTGATTCCAGGCCCAGCACTAAGATCAGTGGAGAGAATTGGGACCTTCAAGCAGAGTCCTGACTCAGGCGAGAGACACCTGTAAGGTTCAGAGTCAGTTCTCTAAAAAGAGTGTCTCACACTTCTGAGGGCCTTCACCAGCCTCAGACACTTCCTAACTGTGTGACCCTGGTCAAGTCACTTCACCCTGTTTGCCTCAGTTTCCTCTTCTGTAAAATGAGCTGGAGAAGGAAATGGCCAACCACTCCAGTATCTTTGGCAAGGACACCCCAAACGGTGTCACAAATGATTAAATATATATGTATATATACATACACACACAATTATATACACAATTCTTTATAAATGCAATTATACATGTTATATATGTACACATAAAAACACACAGATACATATGTGCATGGACTGAAGGACAAAGATGACCAGAGTGGAGGGAGATCAGGGAAAAGAGGCGTCCCTGGGGCTGGGGGTCATTCGGGAGGGCTCTAGGGAGGAAATGAGGCTGCGCCTGAAGCAGGGGCTCAGGGGAATGAGGGACTTCCACAGTGACCCCGGCTTAGGGCTCACCTCACTCTGCACGGTCCAACACCTCTGCCCTGGGAACATGGGGGCGCTTTTCTCTCCATGGAGTGCCCTGAAGCAGGAACTCTGGGCCCTCACCCCTGGAGAGCCAGGAAAGGAGCAGAGTGTCTGGGAGAGTGTGTGTCTGGCAGGTGGAATGTGAGGGGCAAAAATTCACCCCCCAGGTGGAGCCAAGATGATGGAGGGATCACAAGTGTCCAGCCCAGCCCCCTCCCATTCCAGATGAGGCACTCCCTCCTTCTACAGCTGTACTTAGATTGTAAACAACATTCTTCCATTAAGAAATAAAAGTTTAAAGACTAACACGCCAAATGATTTGATCACCACTCAGTAGCTCAATGCTCTAGGATGGTCTCTGGGCCTTTAGCTGGGGGAACAGGGCTCCAACCTTGTGTCTGCCGCCTACCAGCAACCTCTCTGAGCTTCAACGTCTTCAACTGTAGAACTGACCCAATATTTCCTCTTCATACACCTCAGGAGTGGTTTGAGGGCTCAGAAGAGATCCTAGGCACCACCCGGTCCAGCCCACACCTTAAGCAGAATCCATCCCTTCTAGAACATCCCCAACAAATTCTCATCCAGTCTTTGCTTTATTCACTCATACCACCCATGATGGGGAACTCACTACCCCTCCAGACAGCCCCTTCTATTTTTGACAGCTTTGAGGGTCAGGGGATTCTTCCTGTTCTCTATCCCAAACCTGCTTTTCTGTCACTTTCCCCTAATTGCTCCCAGTTCTGCCTCTGGGGCCAAATGGAACAAGTCTAAACACTGGTCCACAGGACAAGAGCAGCTATGGCCATACCCTCAGTCTCTTCCAGCCAGGTCTCCTCCAGCCAGTCCTCATGTGACATGGACTCAAGGCCCTTCCCCATCCTGGTCACCCTCCCCTGGACACTCGCTGGCTGACCCATCTCTTTTCTAAACTCGGGGCCAGACCTGAACATGCTGCCCCGGGACGGCCTGGCCAAGGCAGAGGATAGAGGGACGCACCCTTCTCTACTCTCGGGCACTCCCAGTTCAGCTGAGGTCACGGTAGCTTCCTGATTGGCCTGATCATAATGGGACTCAGATTGAGCTTGCAGTCCACTAAGACCCCCAGAACTTTTTCAGACCAACTGTTGTCTAACCCAAACCTCCTTCTCCTCCTACATCGTGAACTTGTGAAGTTGACTTTTTGAACCCACATGGAAGACTTTACATTTGTCCCTGTTATGTTTCATCTTATTCTTCAAAGTTCAGTGGTCTAGCCTCGCATGACTGATTTTGGACCCTGCCCTCCATCGTGTCAGATGACATAAGTAAACCTTACAGAAATGAAAGGGATTGTTGTCTCTTTGAGTTAATGAGGAAACTGAGGCACAGAGGTCAACTGATTTGAAATGCAACATGATATTGTAGAAAGAGCATTGAACCTGGAATCTGCAAATGCCCAGATTCTAACCGTGACTCATTAGCTGTTGACACTGGACAAGCAGTCTAACATTTCTGAGCCTCAGTCCACTCAGTTGCAAGAGAGAGATCGTGGCACCTCCCTCTCAGGGCTGCTGTGAATCTCAGAGGAGATTACAGATGTAAACCACCTTGTAAACCTTAAAGCACCCTAGAAACGCCAGCCGATTGTGATGGCCCAAGATCACACCCAGGTGACAGGTGCTGAGGTCTCCCTGCCTGCGCTGGGCTTTCCCCCCTGAGGTCCTAGGGCTGAGCCTAGGGCCTGGAACACAGGAGCTGCCGAGCTGGTCCCCTTCTCTGAGCTGGTGCTGAGGCTATAAAGACAAGAAAGCCCCTCCTCCCCTCAAGGCTCAGACATTCCACTGGGTTGGAAAGAACAAATAAGTCAATGCAAAGGAACAAGGTGGTGTGCTTAGATCAGGGAAGGCTTCCTGGAGGGGATGGCACTTGGTCTGATATTTGAAGCAAACTAGGGACTCTAAGGAGTGGCGATGAGACAGGAGTAGGATATAAGAAGGGAATGTGGGGATGGAGGGAGTGTGGGGAGAAGAATGGGAGAGAAGGAGGGAGTAGGGGATGAGGAGGGGGGTGAGGAGGGAGTGGGATATAAGGAGGGAATGTGGGGATGAGAAGGGAGGGTGGAGGTGAGGGGGAAGTAGAGGATGAGGAGTGAGTGGGGGATGAGGATAGTGTGTATTCCAGGTACGAGGGATAGCCAATGCAAAGATTCCTTCCACACCACAGAGTCTCCTCAGGGAAACCCCACAATTGTGGAATCATAACAAGACCCTTTGTTCCCTGTTTAACAGCTGGGGAGCCTCAGCTGCCCATCAAGTGCATGTACACACACACACACACAACACACACACACACACACACACACACACAGAGATACACGCAGTCTGTGGCACCCCGGTGGCCTGGGAGTTTGGAGCCCTGTGGTCTCGGCTGGTCCCAGCTAGCCAAGGAGCTCTGATCACTCCCATAACAGGCACTCACACTTGCACGGAATTTGGAAAGGTTTACACAACACTTTCTGCCCAAGGATCCAGGAGCAAGGCTATGTAGGATTTGCGAGAGGAAGAAGCTGAGGCTCAGTGGGGTCGCCATCGAGGCATCCCCCAGGCAGGGTCCCCCAGGTGCCTCCTTTGGAGCCTGGGGCCCTCTGAGGCTCTGGGCTGGGCTGTGGGCAGTGGGGCTGGGCTGGGGGGGCAGAGCCACCGGCCCATCTGCTTGTCCAGCTTCAGACCTCCCTCTTTGCTCCACAGATTGCCTTCGTCCCGGCTGACACGGACTTTGAGAGCTTCCTGTCCCCAAAGGCTCTGGGCACCTCTGAGAGTGGCATTCCTGAAAAGAAGAGGTAGGTGCCAGGGCCAGGGCCTCCCTCTCAACAGCTCCCAATCTCTTTTTAATGAGCCCTGGGCTGTACTCAGCCCAGCCCCCAAGTCAAGGTCAAGGGGAGAAACCCTTGGCAAGAGATGAATGATAAATATCTCACTACAAAGACCAAAACAAAAATTTTAAAAGTAGGATGTGTGTTTGAATCGTAGGATCAGATATAGAAGGGACCTAGGAGGCCAGCTAGGCCAAAGGACTCATTTTCAAGAGGAGGAAGCCAGGAGATAAGAAGAGATTTATTTGCCCAAGGTCGCAGGTAGTGAGTGGCAAAGTCAGAATTTGAACCCAGAACTGCTGACTCCAGGCTAACATTCCTTGCACCATGAAAGGAAGACAGTGTTTTCAACCCTTCCTGGGACAGTCATCAAGTCAACAAGCATTTATTGAGCTCCTTCTGTATGCCAAGCACCGGGCTAAGCGCTGGGAATGCAAAGAAAGGCACAAGACGGTCCCTGCCCTCAAGGAGCTCCCAGTCTAATTGGGGAGACACCAGACAGACAAGCCACAGACAGGACAACTTGTAAATAATCAAGAGACAGAAGCCACTAGCATTAGCGGGACGGGGGGAGGCCTCCTGTAGAAAGGGGGATTTTACCTAAGACTTACAGGGAAGCCGGAGGGCAGGGGCAAGAAGGGAGAGCATTCCAGGCATGGGGCACAGCCAGGGGAAACACCTGGAGTCTGGCGATGGGGTGTCTTGTTTGAGGGACAGCCAGGAGGCCAGACAGTCAGGACACACAGCTGGACACCACTGATGCCCCAGCATTTGTCCCAAGGGAACCCCTCCTGGCTATGGGCAGCCACTTCCTAGTAAAGCCACGCAGAGACCCAAAACACAGACAAATACTCACACAGATTCATAGACTGTTTGAGAAAAGAAGTGCTAGGATAGTCAAAAGACAGGAAACCCCACTCACAGTGAGGCAGGTGGGTCAGCACGGGAGAGAGGGGACAGGTAGACCTGGAGACCAATCCCAAGCCGCCCCACTCACCAACAGGGGGATCTCCCCTCTGGGGCCTCCTCTCTCCATAGGTGTCAGTGTGATAATGGGGACAAGCCCCAAACCCTAGGCTTGGCTCTGACTCTCACTAGCTGTGTGAATTGAAATCACTTCAGTCACTTGATCGGCAAGCATTTATTAAGTGCCTACTGTGTACCCAGGACTGGGCTAGGTGCTGGGCATACAAATACAACAAATGGAATAATCCTCCGGGCCTCAGTTTCCTTAGCTGTCATAATCCCTGCCTAGTTACAGGGCTTTTTTGAGGACTATGGAAGTGGTCCACTCTTCCTCCCATGCCTCTGTCCTCCCTTCCCCAGCTCAGCCTTTCCTCCTCTCTCCTCCAGTTCCCAACCTCCTTACTCTAGATTGGAAGAAGATGAGGCCTCAGTGCAGAGCCCTGCTGACTATCGCCACATCCAGATGAAGGTCTTTGGCCCCAGGGAGGACCAGGGCGTCCTGTCGGCCCAGAGCCTGCCCCAGTCCGACCTCCACTCTGGAGGAGAAGGAAGGGGCCCCCACTCGGAACCTTTCATGGAGACGACTGTCGTGGTCCACCGGAGCCCGGATGTCGGGGAGGCTGAGAGCCACCAGGGTCAGCCTGAGGCAAGGTGAGCGGCCTAGGTTTCCATGGAGCGCTGGGGAGGGGGAGGCACAAGATCGGAGGACACCTGTGAAAGACCCTCTGAGGCTGGTCGGTCAGAACAGCTGAAGGAGCTGGGGGGTGTTTATCCTGGAAAAGAGACAGCCCAGGGAGGACATGAGAGCTGGCTTCCAGGATCTGAAGGACTGTCCTGTGGGGGCAGGATCAGGCTTACTCTGCATGGCCCCAAAAGGCAGAACCAGAAGCAGTTAGGGGGTGGGAGGGAACAGCTGTAAATATACAAATTTAGGCTTGATACAAGGAAAAACTTTCTGGCAATTAGGGCCATGCCCAAGTTGAATAGGCTGGTCTTGGAGGCAGTGAACTCCCCCAGCTGGAGGTCTTCCAGAAAGGCTGAGGACCACTTGGTGAGGACACTGTGTAATGGGGGCCTTTGGGGGATAGATTGGGCGAGATGACAGCTGAGCCGCCCAGCTCGGAGATTCCACATAGGATGCGGATACCAAATAGTGCAGAAACCAGCCATTCAGCCCCCAGCCTAGTGATGGAAGGCCAGTGACCAGCTCTGGGGCCGGCTCTGGGCCTGCCCTGTGGGAGAGATGAGAGGGAAGGCCAAAGTTTTTGCCCTTAAAGAGCTGACAGTTTAGTTGGGGAGACAGCAATAGCAGACTCCAAGAATGCTAGAGATAGAAAAGACCCTTAGAGCTTCTGGCGGGAAATGACTACTATTTGTGAAGCTTCTGGAAGAAACCGAGACAGTAAGGCAGAGAGGCATCATGGGACTTCTAAAGTTCTGTGAGAACAGACCACAAGAATCACGGGGGATCAAGGACCTCCCTCCCAACAAGGGCGGAAGTTTTCTTGGTGCCTTGTGTTGTCTCTCCGCTGGCAGCAGGTGGGCACAGCATGTGGGCTCTTCTGCCGTAGGCAAACTCAAACAGACTGGAGGAGCATCTACGTGGCCCCCACCAGCTCCACCAGGAGAGTGAAGTGAGGGGGGACTTCAAGGTTAACAATGAGGAAGGAGAAGGATGCGTCAGAGGTTACAGGGGGAATGTGATGGAGGAAGGTACCCGTGGGACCTCACCAGGCACGAGGTTCTGCTCCTCGAGTGGGCAGCTGGACCCTCCTGGTAGGATTACCTTCTGATGTACCAAGGAATGACATTCTGGATCCGGGTAGGACAGAGAAAGGCAAAAACAAAAAGGCTGCTTACGTTCTATCAAGAGAGAACGCTGACACTCGCTCACACTCACACACACACACACACACACACACACACACACACACACACACACACACACACTCATTCCAAATGCAGGCTGAGTTAAACATTACCTTCACAAACAAGGTCATTTTAGGGGGCAGGGGCGCTAGCTCCTGTAGCAGTGGCATGGAGCTGAGCTTTGAATGAAGTCAGAGTCTGAAAGGAGGAGGTGAGAAGGGACGGCACACAAGGCTGGAGCATAAGGGTGGAGGCCGGGGATAGAGGGTGAGGGGGGAGCCCCACAGCAAGTACAGGGCAGTTTGGCTGGAGGGTTTGAGAGGGAGTGACTAGAATCTGGAGAGCCAGTGGAGGGCCAGGATGAGGCCCTGAATGCCTCTCTACAGAGAGGTCTCTAGTTCACCCGAGGCCAGGGGGACCCAGGGGAGACCTGGGAGCTAGGGAGTGGTGAGGTCAGATCTGAGCACGGCTGTGTGGGCGATGGACTGGAGAGCAGAGTCGGGAGGTCGGTCATTGCAGTGGCCCAGGCCAGGGGTGATGAGGGCAGGCTTGCGGTGAAGGTCCTCGAGGCCGGGGACCCTTGTCAGTTCTCTGTACCCTCAGTGGCTCACACAGTGCACGGCCCATAGAGAATACCTAAATATATGTTGACTGATTGATCACAACCCCGCCACGCCTGTGGGGGAGACGGGGGTGGGGAGAGAGGAGAACAAACATCTCCTAAGGCTTTACAAATATTGTTTCATTTGATTCTCACAACCCTGCAAGGTAGCTGCTGTTATTACCCCCATTTTACAGTTGAGGAACCTAAGGCAAACAGCATTGAAGTGACTTGCCCAGGGTCATACAGCTAGTAAGTGTCTGAGGCCATATTTGAACTCAGATCTTTCTACCCACTGTACACCTAGCTACCTCATAATAATCATGATGATGTTAATAATAATAATAATTATGGTAGCTAGCATTTATGTAGCATACACCAGGCACTGTGCCTAGCACTCTAGAAATATTAACTCATTTTATCCTCACAACAACCCTGGTAGATGCTATTATCAACTTCATTTTACAGATGAGGAAACTGAGGTCTGCAGAGGTCCAATGACTTGTCCAAGGTCACGTAGCTAGTGAGTACCTGAGGCAGCATTCAAACTCGGGTCTTCCTGACCCCAAGGCCAGCTTTCTGATCTACTGCCGGTGTACTAGGATGTGATGAGGATCCAATAAGACAGAAAATGTAAAACAATCCACAAACCTTCAAGCCTTATACAAATGCTAATTGACATTATTATTAGACTTTGGATGGATTTCTTTTTTTGTCTAATTCGATATTTAATTTTTCCCAATTACACATAAAAACAACTTTTCACTTTCATTTTTTGAAATTTTGAGTTCCCAATTCTCTCCTTCCCTCCTCTGCCCCCTCCATGAGAAGGCAAACAATTTGATATTGGTCACACACACGAAGTCATGCAAAACATAGCTCCACCAGCCTCGCGATGAAAGAAAAGAAAGAAAGGAAGAAAGGAAGAAAGAAAGAAAGAAAGAAAGAAAGAAAGAAAGGAAGGAAGGAAGGAAGGAAGGAAGGAAGGAAGGAAGGAAGGAAGGAAGGAAGGAAGGAAGAAAGGAAGAAAGGAAGAAAGAAAGAAAGAAAGAAAGAAAGAGAGAGAGAGAGAGAGAGAGAGAGAGAGAGAGAGAGAGAGAAAGAAAAGAAAGAAAGAAAGAAGAAGAAAGAAAGAAAGAAAAGAAGAAAGAAAGAAAGAAAGAAAGAAAGAAAGAAAGAAAAGAAAGAAAGAAAGGAAGGAAGGAAGGAAGAGAGAGAGAAAGAAAAAGAAAGGAAGGAAGAAAGAAAGGAAGGAAGGAGGAAAGAAAGAAAGAAAGAAAGAAAGAAAGAAAGAAAGAAAGAAAGAAAAAGAAAGGAAGGAAGGAAGGAAGAGAGAAAGAGAGAAAGAAAGAAAGTGAAAAAAGTGTGTCTCCATCTGCTCTCAGACTCCACCAGTTCCCTCTCTGGAGGCGGAGGGTATTCATTATAAGTCCTTGGGAGCTGTCTTGGGTCATTGTATTGCTGAGAAGAGCTATGTCATGTTTGATGGATTTCTATGGTTAAAAACACAACCCACACACACACACACACAAACTCACATTCTTACACACACACACACATCCATACACTCACACACATTCACACATTCTCATACACACATACACACACAAACTCTCTCTCTCTCTCTCTCTCTCTCTCTCTCTCTCTCTCTCTCTGTCTCTCACACACACACACACACACACACACACACACACACACACACACACAGAGTCCCTCTGTTGGCTAACCTCCTAAGGCTGAGTCTTCCCTTAGCTGGGCTCGGCCTCAGACAGCACCACAGTCCACTGAGGGACACTCCTTTCCTCAAAGGTTTTCTCTGGGAGCTTGGACTTCACTGGGAGAGCTTGGGTCCTTCCCCCTGCCCTAAGGAGGTATCAGGGCAGGCCATTGATGCAGGATTCTCTGAGCCTATGCTGATGGTGGTGGAACATTTGGGGTTTATACTAACGTGGGGGGGGAGAATTAATCAGAAATTCTGCCTCTGTCCTCTGCTGGTCTCCCCTAACCTCTCCTGCTCTGTGGCTTTGCTCTCCGCAGCCAGATGACGGGTCCCCAGATCACTGCTGCCCCCCTGGCCTCCTTTAAAGATGAGCTGGACTCCAGTGGCAGCAGCAGCAGCAGCAGCAAGAACCCATGCCCTCCTGAGGGTGAAGAGCCCTGGTCCCAGAAGGCAGACTCTCAGCCCGATCGCTACCCTGACTTTGTTCTGATCGATTCCACCGGAGGCGACGAGGACTCCCCAAGCCCCAGCCCCGGCCCCAGCCCCAGGCCCGGCCAGGGTGTTTCTCCGGACTTCTGGCCCGGGCCCAGGCTGGGGCCAGCCAGTGTCAAGGAGGCAGCTTCTGAAGGAGGCCTTCCTGACCCGGTGGAGGAGTCTGAAGCGGCCCCAGAGGAACCCAAGGAAGAAGAGGAGGATCTGTACTACGGACTGAAGGATGGGCCAGGGGGGGCCCTCGAAGTTGAGGAGCTGTTTGAGCCAGACTCCTAGGGCTAGAGAAGGGTTTGGGGGTCAGTGACCCTCACTGGGCTGCAGATCTAGCCCGGCCTCTAACTCACTGTGTGATCTTAGCTGAATCCCTTCACCTAACCTCAGTGTTCCCCATCTATAAAATGGGGACATTCATAAATCACAGGGTTTCTGTAAGAATCCCCTGAAACTATGGATCGGAATTATTTACACATAATATATACACAGTGAATGTGAGGGATTATTATGACTCTCGGTATGCTTCTGTTGATACTTGAACTCATCCATGTGAGCAGACCATCCACCAATGCTGATTGAAACTCATCCATGCCTTTCCATCACACATCGTTCCTGTCCGCCACTTGGCATATATACCCTCTGCCAGCTGGTCAGTTTTGAACTGGAAGGGACCAGCCACGTGACTGACCCAGGGTTGCAGAGCTAAGAGAAAATTCAAACCAGGCCTTCCTGACTCCAAGTCCAGTAACTAGGCAGCAGGAGGCCTTTCTCTCATGCTCAAAGGTACAACTAACCTGGGATCTCTCTGGCTGTGCCCAGGTGCCGCTGGGAGAGGGCGTGTCTTCCCTGAAGCCTTCTTAAAGGCATGCAGAGGGCCAGTGGGGCCTCAAGGCTCAGAGGAGGAGGATGGGGGGAGGCGTGCCCCCTCCACCATATTGGCTCCCGTACCAATACAGGTTTGTTTATTGCATTTACGTAGTGCTTTATTTAATGCTCACGGCATTTATACCGTACTTTGAAAGTTCACAAGGCGCTCTACAAATATTGATCCTCACAAACACCTTGTGAGCTAGGTGCTATTATTCTGTTTTGTTGATGAAGAAACTGAGGCTAAAAGGGACCGAGAGACTTGCTGAGGGTCACACAGACAGTAAGTGTCTGAGGCAGGATTCAAGCTCAGGTCCCACTTCGACACCTAGCTGTCTCCTTCTAAGAGTCCTTTCCTGTTCCTCCCCTTCCCAGGACCCGTCATTGGCACAACGCACCAGACAGGGGCAGGCTGCCCATGACCCCCATAACACAGGATGCCCAAAGACCAGGTGATGGTGGTGCCTAGCAATCTCAGGGCATCCTGAGGCTGTCTCCCTTCCTTCACCCACGCCTCACCTCCAGACTGGTCCAGGTGCTGGACAGGCTACGTCAGTGGGGCTCTGGGTCCTCCCCCCCTCCCTCTCTCTTGCTTTTGACCAGCCAGACTCCTCTTTTTTATCATCCTTGACCTCAACGACATCATTCATTTACTCTTCATACCATCAACCAACTATTATGGTTTTTTTAAGCGTGTCTAGAAGTCATTTGAAGGCACAATGTAATCAGATTGGCTGAACCAATTAGGAGTCAGGAGACTCTATCAGTAACTGTGTGGCATTGGCCAAGTCAATTCTCTATGGCCTCAATTTCATGAATTTATCATCTATCTGTTAAGGATGGATTGATGGGGGTGGGGAGGTGGTGTGAGGAAGTAGAAGACAGACCTTGGAGTTAGGAAGACACGGCTGAGTTATCATATACAAATAAAATGGAATATGATTAAGCCTTAAGAAATGAGGAAGGGGGCGCAGCTAGGTGGCACAGTGGATAGAGCACCAGCCCTGAAGTCAGGAGGACCTGAGTTCAAATCCAGCCTCAGACCAAACACTTGACACTTACTGGCTGTGTGACCCTGGGCGAGTCACTTAACCCCAATTGCCTTAAAAAAAAAAAAAGAAATGAAGAAGGGGACAGCTTCAAAGAAACCTGGGAAGACTCATCTGAACTGATGCAGAAGAAAGTGAGCAGAACCAGGAGGACAACTTATACAATATTGCAATACAAACCTCATGAGTAAAGACATGGGTTCAGACCCTGCCTCCATGAGGCCCAAAGGGCCAGGAGGAGACTTTGGGGAGTACTCCCACCTCCATCGGTCTGACTTATAGCATCTCCTGCAGTGGTCAAGAATCCAGCCCTCAGGAAAATGCAACAGGAATAGATTCGAGAGCAGCTTTCACCAAACTTCACTAAAGAAGCCCCTCAAAGTGCTTCTTTGTCGATCTGGAATCACGCATTAAATCAGGCTTCCTTACCTCATGAAGCTTGGACTTCAGCTTTCTTTCAGGGGGTTGGCAGATTAGAAGAAGGAGTGGGGAGGGGCTAGAAGGTGACCTGCTGAGAAGCAAACATATTCCAGGAGAGTCCCCGCTGATCGTGCCAGCCAGGGGACATTTAGTGTTGGGACAAATGGTCCCTCATAACCCAGTAACCCCAGAGAGTACCACGGAGTCATAGCACAGCCCAGGAGACCTCATTCAAGAAACCCTTTAGGAACACCCCAGGAACATGAAGTGAAAGCTACCAGGAGGCTGATTTCAGCTCAGTATAAGGGAAAACTTCCTGACCAACCTGCCCTTGAGTGTAATGGGCCACCTCTGAATCCTGAAGTGGTTTCCCCAGTCCTGGAAACTGAGGTAGAGATCACTTCTTGGAAATGTTGTAAGAGGGAGCTCTGGGTAAAGGGGAAGGGAATGATCATTTATTAAGCACCTGCTATGTGCCAGGCACTGGGCTAAGTGCTTTACAAATATCGCGTTTGATCCTCACAACAGCCCTGGGAGGAGGGAACTGTTTTTATCCCCGTTTTACAGCCGAGGAAAATGAGGCAGACAGAGATTGTCGCATGTCCGGAGCCACAGCGCTAGTGAGTGTCCGAAGCTGGATTTGAACTCTTGTCTTCCTGACTCTGAGCCCAGTGCACTATCCAGAATGCCACCTACCTGTCTATGAAGTACGAGGGTCTTTCTAAGATTTTGTTGTGTGTAATTTTTTTTAATGTTGGGGATGTTCCAGTATTCTCAGCACTGGGTCCCATCTCAGGTCTCTCGTAGGCAGGTAACACTCTTTGGTTCACACGTCCTAGTTATATGTCATCTTCATTTTACAAATGAGGAAACTGAGGCATAGAGAAGTCATGGGGAAGGTGGAACCAGGATGCCATGTATAGCCATGGAGTCACTGCTCAGGGATCCATCCTAAGAGAAAGGGAGACAACCCACACTTACATAAAGAGTAGCAAGGCTACTCAGTCTCCTTAGATCCGTTTTCTCATCTATAAAATGAGGGGGGAGGGTCAGCCTGCTCTCTCTAGGTCTAAGGTCCTACGCAGCCTTCTGGGGAGGGAGGGAGGGCCCTGTCTAGAGAACATGCTTCCTGGTTTGTATCCCTCTCTCTCCTGAAGTACTTCTACCTCTGGGAACCAAATCTCTGGTTATATATCTTAATAAATGTTTATTGATTGATTGACGAAGGCGTTACATTCCAATCCTAGGTGTTCACAATAGCGACCCTGTGTTATCACTGTGGTACTGAGAAGAAAGGGCCGGAATCAGAAGAAGAGGGACTAGGTTTGAGTCCTGATTCTGATCTTAGCTGCGTGGCCAGGGCAAATCATTCTATCTCTCTGGGCCTCTTTGGGATTCTATCATGCTATCAATTTACAATTTTATCAATTTTATCCCTTAGTCATTTTATCTGTCTTTCCTCTTTGTAAAACAAGAGTTGGGATTAAGTGATCTTGGCGATCCCTTCCGGCTTGAACACTCTGGGAGCCCTAATTTGATACGAGTACACTTGTCTTCCAGTATAATTCAGTGGTTCTCCTGGAAGTGTTGAATCCCTCCATCAGGGCAGATAGCCGCTCATCCCATACATTCTCGCCTTGTGTGACTTCTGTTTGTGCCCTCCTGGCTCCACCCAATGGGCTAGACACCAGCGCTTCCTGGTGCTCAATGTGTGACTGGTCCACCACCCTTTCTGCTCATAAATCTTTTCAGGCCTCTTTTGTACCACTTCTGCACAATCATAGAATCCCAAATCCGACCTTAAGGACCGTCTAGCTGTAGCACAACTCCCTCATTTTACTAATGAGGAACTTGAGGCTGGGGGGTAGGGGGGGGTGATTTACCTCACCTTTGATTCTCATGCCAAAGGCCATCACGGGAAGAAAACTACTACCCAAAATAAACAAACACATTACTTAAGAAGACAGGCCGAGCATCTCAGGATCCTACCCAAAGCCTTTCCTGACTGCCCTTCTCGGACCACCTTGTATTTACTTACCTGTATACATGCTGTATTCTCCTTCTAGAATGTAAGCCCCTTGAGGGCAGGGACTGGTTTTTTTTTTTTTTGATGTGGAAACTTCACTCACGGAGGATCCCACTCATTTCCACTGAGATTGTGTTGAGTTATACAAGTTATTAAGGATAAATGGAGAAGCCATAAATAAGAGAAAAAGGAATGAGCTTTGGGACAGGCATGAAGAGGGCGACGTTTGACGTTCAGGGCTGACACGAGCTGTCCTGTGCCACGCTTATCTTACTGAGATGCGTAGCAGTTACTTGGGCACATGTCACACGCACTAGAGTGTAAGCTCACTGAGGGCAGGAGCTGTTGTTTTTCATCTTTGTATTTCCAGGCAGGACCCCATGCCCAGTAAGCTATTAGTAGGGTTTTTGTCAAACTGAACTCAGTACTTGACCCTGCTCAAATTTCTTCTCCGCTCTGAGCTTCAGTTTCCTCATCTGTAGAATGGGGACAACAAAGCCTGTCCTACCAAACTCATAGGGCTATTCTGAGGGATGTAAATGACACAGTGCCGCATAAATCATGCCGCTTCCATCCTCTGAGACCAAGCAGACTACATCTAGCCTTTATTTCTGGTGGCCGCCCTTCACACACTGGGTGCCCCCAAATTCCCAGCTCAGTTTCAAACTTCTAAAACCAGACAACTGCCCTAACACTTTTGGGATGCCTTGGATTGCAGGGCAGCCACCTTGGTCCACTCCAAGAATTCTCTTCTTCCAGCTATGAGCCTTGCATCACAGGGTCTTTGCATCCCAGTCACTCTTTTCTGGATGCTCTCCAAGTAATCAGGGTCCTTCCCAAAACAGGGTGCTCAGAATTGAAGACAATACACACCAGTCATCACTTTGCTGGGAGGGTCATCCCTGCTCACCCCTGAGAAAAATGCTCATAGAACAGAGACAGAAGCCACGTGGGGTGTCATCTGATACAGCAGTGTGTCTGACCAGGAAACCACGCTATCGCATCCTTGACGAAAGATCAAATCCTCCATCTCCCGAGGAAGGCCTCCACCAAAGGAAAACGCCCCAACGTTGCCGACTCATCAGAGGTTCCTTTTGACTGTGTCTAGGAGGGCTGGGAAGTTTCCGCTTTGAAGCCTGGGCTTTCTATGGTTTGGAAAGGCCTATGACTCACTTCTACTGGCATCCAGGGAGCAAGGCACGGAGTTTGGAAGTCATGGGGGCTATCACAGCCCAGATTGCACGGAAAGGCAGGGGTCTCAGTGGTCTAGTGAATCCTGTTGAATCCTTGGTGTAGAGCAGAAAGCCCTAGGCTCAGAGCCAAGAGACCTGAATCCCAGGTCTGGCTCTACCCCTACATTACCATGTGGTGCTAGGTCAGCTGGGTGGGGCAGTAGATAGAGCGCCAAGCCTGAAGTCAGGAAGACTCATCTTCATGAGTTCAAATCCAGCCTCGGACACTTCCTAGCTGTGTGACCCTGGGCAAGTCACTTCACCCTGTTTGCCTCAGTTTCCTCATCTGGAAAATGAGCTGGAGAAGGAAATGGCAAACCACTGCAGTATCTTTGCCAAGAAAACCCCAAGTGGGGTCACGGAGAGTCAGCCATGAAAAACAACTGAACAGCCACCAAACTGGGCCAGCCACTTTCCTTCTCTAAATCAGATTACTCCCCTTTGTAAAATAATGAGCTACAGTAAACGATTTCTAGGGTTCATTCCAGCTCTGACATTTTAGGACACTCTCTGACACTCTCCTGTTCTAATGTCTCTCCAAGCTCTGATGTTCTCTATTCTGAGGATCCACCCAGCTCTAACATTTTGTGTTCCGATGTTCTAGGTTCTACCTAAGTGCCATGTAAGGACCCAGTACCAGGTACTGGGGGAGGGGTTACAAAGACACAGAAGAAAAAGACCTTTCCCTTGAAGAGCTTGCAGTCTAAAAGGGTGGATAAGACAGGTACACATAAATACAGGTAAATAATAATAAATAAGAAAATTTCAATTAAAAATAAAGACAAATAAGAATGCAGATAAACAACGATACAAGAGATGTGCCAAGGCTGCCTATGATTTATTTCCAAGGGAGTGGTATAGGCAAGGAGGTCCCTGTGGGCTGGGGTAATCAGGGCAGTCTTCCTGGAAAGGGAGGCAAAAAGTTGATAAAGCTTACAGAGAGCTCCTGCTGTTTTTCTCTTCCAACCTGATCTGAACTTTCTTTCCTTTTTCACACCTGCCTTTTCCCCAAGGGTCACTTTCAGAGACGTCATCCAGGGTTTGTGTTGAGGAGAGATATCAACATTGACCAGATGGAGGCCTGTGTTTACAGCCAATACAGATGGTGGCTTCTTCCTTGACCCTTCGGGCTCTATGCTCTAAGCAGAGGGTTAGGGAGCCTGCTTCTCCCAGGAGGCTCCAGGGCAGCCCACGAGGCTCAGATCTGCTCCATCCTG